GTCGAATGCAAATCAAATGCTAACTCCATACAATGTATTACAATATCGACAACAATTGGCCTGATATCGTATGTGAATGTGGAACTCGCAAGTAAAATTATACACCTAGCAATTGCGTTGAAATAGCATTGATAACTGAATTTGAACGAGATTTTTGGCCGTTTTTAACATCCATAAAACGCGTTAAAGGTTTCAAAATCAACGCTAATAAGAACGCGTTCCAAAACGACGAAAACGCGTCTTTTGACCGTTTTTAACGACCAAAAAAACTCGTTAAAGGTTTCAAAACCAACGCTAATAAGAACGCGTTCCAAAACGAACGAAAACGAGTTTTTTGACCGTTTTTTACGACCATAAAACGTGTTGTAACCCATTTCTTAACGGAACTTTTTAGAAGAAAACGCGTTAAAACGACCAAAACAACGCGTTGGTTTTGAAACCTTTAACGCGTTTTTTTACCGTTAGAAACGAAAAAAAAACGCGTTTTTAGTCCGATTTTTTTATCCCTGGGTCAGATACGATCTTAGTACGATTCTTCGACCTGGGTAGGTATAGACCTACGGGAAAAGAAGGAATCAACCTTCGAAATAAGAAATGATAGGCCATTAGTCCTTCTTTCGTCGAATACCTAAAGGCGAGATATAACACTTTCTGCTAGTGAATTTATCTATCTTCTGTTTTCTTCTTCTTTTTAATAGTCACCACAATCTCAATTAGCAATAACTGTAATTATACTTCGATGTTACGTATTCCTTTCACTAACAAATTTTCCATTTCTTTAAATTTATTATACCTTTCTTCGTAATTTACTTCTTTTCTATCTCTCTCAAACGAAAATTCTGTTATTAAAACCATCGCATTCTCGTTTCAATTAATTTTCTCTACAAAAAGAACTAGCGCCGGACAGCTGAATGTACGAAAAATTTCAAAACCCCAAAACCATTTTCCGTTCACTTCTGGCGCACACAAACGATTCACAAACGACCCACAGCATAAAGATCATCATCATAAAGATTACACTATATATCTATCTCCTGGATGCTCCGTGGCACTAGATGACATTTCACTTTCGTCACAGCAATGCTCATGTGACGACGACGAGATCACCAACAACTGACTCAATGATGATGCAGCTGGTGAAGAATGCAAATAATGAAACTATTCATCTATCTCCTAGATGTTTCATGGCACCAGATGACATTTCACTTTCGTCACAGCGAAGCTCATCTGCCGAAGACGAGGTCACCCACAACTGACTCAATGATGCTGCAGCTGGTAAAGGATGCAAATAATGACGATCATAATAATGATCATCAAGATGATTGAATAGTTTCAAATAAACATAAGTTTTGGTTGTGGTTTTCTTGACTTGCATGATGGTAAATGCTGTTGCTGGAGGAAGTATGACTTCTTCTTCGTCGTAGTCGGAATGTTGCGATATGTCTAAGCCGCCGTTTTCTTTCGCGTTGATAATGAATAAGGTATTGCCGAAGTTCTGCGCTTTTTGAAGACTTTTGCTAGTTGAGGTAAAACCATTCCAGCATCTGTGCTGGCCGATGGCTTTCTCATACGATGTTAGCGTCTTCGGATCGATGTTTACACCTCGATACAGTTCCGCTGCGTGTTTTGTATCGGTTTTTAGCCAGCTTCTGAATAGAATGTAACAAAATGGTCCCAAAGTGTTGATTTTGCTCGCGTCGGTTTCTCTCAGTGCTTTATTTATTAGTTTATATAGAAAGCATTCCATTGTGTATAGGTGAATGCAACACTTGTAAATTTCTTCTCTCTTTTTGTTTTTCACGGCTATTAGTTGGCGAGCAAGATATTGTGACTCACAGTGTTTACCTAGTTGCTTTCCTTCGATAATTATTCCATTCGCTGCCTGCTCTACTATTTCAGCATCAGAAAGTTGCTTGTCTTTCCTCCACTGTGAAAGAAAAGTATAAGCTTCTTTGCCCCAGTCATCATTGAACGTTTTACTCAATGCTGGTGTGAGAAAGAATCTTTCTTCTCTTAAACCTTGACTTTCATTTCTACTAGTCAGAACCCGTTTTATTTGCCGTTGTTTATTTGGATCCAATTTACTGATTTGTATGGAATCGTTTAAGTTAATCGAATAATTATCCAGTTCAGCTAGTTTTGTTTTATTCTTTCGATTAAATACTTCTTCGATAATCGCTGATTCAATATCAGAATATTTTGTCCATTCTTCATTTCCATTTGTTGACCATGGATCAGAATTTGATTTCCAATACCATTGAGTTCGTAGTTGATCGACTCCTTCTATCGCCTGACTTACCATTTATTAGACTGTTTGGAACTGATGGGTCCTAGAAACGTCCGTGGATCTAGAAAAGACACGAGACAAGTAGCAGAATATTCTGTAATTTAAGAAACAATTGCTCAGCTTTTCAAGACTAAGTCTGATTATGTTTACATTCTATTCATCAGTGAAACTGGCACTTGTTTTTGCAGTTTAGTACATAGCAAAAGTGAAATGAAATACACTAGAACAGAAAACAAAACGTTTCGACCAAGGCATCTTCTCTGTTGTTTATATAACACCCAGATCGATGATTCCGAAGACAAGTTCCTGAAAGATCTGACAGGATCCGACCTTGAAACATGCCGGAATGCGATGAAATCTGGCACAATCGTATCAGAACCATGCCGTATTATGTCGGAATCCGGACCGGTGTTGTTTGCAAAGCTCTTAATGAGGCATGCCTTCCTATGCAACAAGTAGAGGCATCAAATGACTGCTTTAGTTTCAAGATTAGCGCTCAAATTTTCGCTTTTAATCTTCTTATTTGAAGGCTCCTGAATCTGTTGAGGAGAGATCCTTCCAGTCATGAACAAACAGAACAAGTTGATATGTGATCATTCAACCCGAACAGTATCAACAATGTTGACGTACTCATATGACATGGAAAAATATTAATTGCAATCAACTGCGTATTTTGCCTTTCTAACGTTAGCTAGTTTCTAACATTCTAATTTAATCTAACAGCGACACAAACAACCGCGTCATGATGAACGCAGTTAGAAAATATCAACTTTGTATGAGAAAAATGTCTTAGTGCTGTGTGGAATTGAAACATGAAATACCTTTTACTCACTGTAATCGAATGAATATTTTATTCTTTTAAACGCACATTAGTCAGGCACCTTAACTCACTCATTCTGTTTCTTATTCTGATGAAAGTGAAACAAAAGCAAAAATGGTATGTTTCCTTTTCACTCGATACTTTTCTAAATTGAATTTCTGCATCGATTTACACAACCCGGGGTCCATGATTACGACCGCCGTATACGGTCATATACGCCAAATTACGTCGTCGTAATTGATCGTATACTATAGTATTTCGTCGTATTTTTCACGTAAACCCGGCGAACGTATTACGTCAACCGTTATGACCGTGGTATTTCAACATAAACGACGTCGTTTACTATGGACGCAATACGTTCGCCGGGTTTACGTCAAAAATACGACAAAATACTATAGTATACGATCGTGAATCTTTGACCAGGGACTGGAACAGAGACGATATTCTCAAGGACTTTTTATTCTGTTATTTTGTTTTTAAACTCATTTCTGTCCAAAGAGAATTATTGAGAATTCCAAGAGAAAAAACTTTGATAATATTTATGTCAACAGACATTATGTATTTTTGCAGGGGTTTTTGTTTTTTTCTTTTCTTCCTTCTGACGTTCCCATTTTTTTCGCAAAATGCGCACCGCGTGATCTAGCGAACTATACTACGTAGAAAACTTCTGACCTTGTCTGTGATTCGTCTATTTCAGCGACATCTATCGTAGAAATTATTTATAGAAATTATTTATAGAAATTCAACCTCGATTTTCTATAAATTATAAAATCCCCGGTGATTTTTCAGTTTATAGAAAATCCTCAGCGAGGCTGCACCTTTATAGAAAATCGAATCTATGGAAATTCAAGTCGATTTTCTATCAACTGGAATTAATTCAAGATTATAGTGTAGAGGATCTACCGTCTACAACTCAGATAGATCTTTGCTATAATGAATGTGTTTGTATACAATACTTGCGAAAGTTTTCACTAACGATAAATGAGTATAATAGCTGTAAATACATAATTACAATAGTCGAGTGCAATATCAAACACCTTAAATAAAATGAAAAATAATAAAAACAAAAATATTATTTACAATCTTAATGAATCTATATTTTTATGTACCTGTGGCATT